TGTTGGTCCATCCCAGCTCCTGGAATGGTTCATTGTGCCCACCCTGCCTCCAGCTGAGGACCCAGGGAGAAGCACTGACCCCTGATCTTAATATCCCTTCCATTACACTCTTGCCAGAGGAGCTTTATTTAGGAGTGGCCACTTCCCCCTCCTCAAGAGAATTCTGGGGACCAACCAGCTCAGGCCTGCTGTTGGCCTCAGGGTCACATCTCACCCAGACACCCCCACCATTCTCTCAGGCCTAGGGATGCTGCTCCCCCACCATGGGATCTTCTTTTTATTTTTATTTATTTATGTTTTACTTATGCCTAACACTGTGTAAAGGGATTTCTTTTCTTTTCTTTTCTTTTCTTTCTTTCTTTTTTTTTTTTTTTTTTTTTTTTTTTTTTTTTTTTTGAGATGGAGTCTCGCTCTGTCACCCAGGCTGGAGTGCAATGCAGTGGCACGATCTCAGCTCATTGCAACCTCCACCTCCCAGGTTCAAGTGATTCTCCTGCCTCAGCCTCCCAGTAGCTGGGATTACAGGTGCGCCACCACATTCAGCTAAGTTTTTTACTTTTAGTAGAGATGGGGTTTCACCATGTTGGCCAGGCTAGTGTCAATCTCCTGACCTCAGGTGATCCACCCGCCTCAGCCTCTCAGAGTGCTGGGATTACAGGCATGAGCCACTGCTCCTGGCCAGGATCTTCTTTTCAAAGCTACCACCACCCACTCTCATTCCCCAGGACTCTCCTCACAGCAAAGGGAGCTGGTGTCCCTACTGGCTCCTTCCTTTCTGCCCCTAAAGACAGGCACACAGGTGATTTTCCTTTTAAGTGTTTTTCTGTGGATCACTGTGGGGAAATAGAGAGGGACTGATAAAAGGAACAATCTTTGATACTCTTTCAGTTGGGTCCCTGATTTTCTTGCTGGGCTGACAACAGCAATCTTCCCTACTTGGAATCTTGGTTTTATTCCTTAGCACGGGCTTTATCAAACCCACTTTTTAATGAAGGGAGAATGAAGAAGCCATCGAAGCAGACCACTAGCTGCCAGTCAGGTCTGCTCTGAAGGCTGCCTGTCCGTGGCAGCATGTGACTTCTGGGGCTTTCCAGATTGACTTATGCTCGCCCCACATGTCTTAAATTCTCCAAGCACTATTCCGGCCCTGCTGTGCTTCTTAGAGCACAGGTTCTTTGCCTTTTTAGTGTAACGGATCCCTCAGCAACTTGGTGAGCCCTTCTCAGAATAAAGTTTCTCATGCAGAAAATAAAACACATGGGATAATAAGGGAAGTCAAGTCCTTTGAAATCCTTACCAAAAATATTTTTCAAGTTTTGTGATATAATAACATAAGTTTGGTTACTATTATATTATATAGTATAATATAACTTCAGATCTAATAGCTATTGTTATTTTGAAGTAGTGGTGAACATATATGCTATTTTGAGATGTCTAAAACAACTGTAATGTGTTACAAAAATATCCATGATTTCTATTGGTGACAAAGCCACAAGTATCGCACACACTTCTGTGATTTGCAACCTACATCCAAAATGAAAGGAAATCCTAATGTTTTGTTAGTGATTGGTAAAAATAAAGATGTGGGCAGGTGCAGTGGCTCACGCCTGTAATCCCAGCACTTTGGGAAGCCGAGGCAGGCAGATCACGAAGTCAGGAGATCGAGATCATCCTGGCCAACATGGTAAAACCCCATCTCTACTAAAAATACAAAAATTGGCTGGGCGTGGTGGTGCATGTCTGTAGTCCCAGCTACTTGGGAGGCTAAGATAGGAGAATCACTTGAACCCAGGAGGCAGATGTTGCAGTGAGCCGAGATAGTGGCACCGCAGCCTGGCAAGAGAGCGAGACTCTGTCTCAAAATAAATGAATAAATAAAAATAAAAATAAAAAAATAAAGATGTAATACTATTTTTTCCCCCATTGAGCTCATGGGCCCAGATTAAGAGCCCCTGCCTTGGATCTGTGCTTCTCAAACTTCCATGTGCTTCTGAATCATTTGAGCTCTGTTAACATGCAGATTCTGATTCAGGAGGTCTGGAGTAGGCTTGAGGCTCTGCATTCTTGACAAACTCTAGGGATGAGTTTGTCAGGCTGGCCCCTGAGATGAGCACAGTCTGGAAAGTGTGGTACTGGGTAATGGTCACCACCTGGAACCATTATGGGAATCTGAGAGCAGGGCATCCGCTGCTGGGGCCTGAGGGTGGGTTGGGGCCTTAGACTGATTCCATGAACTTCACAGGCTTCATGGCAGTCCTGTGGTGACAAGGCCATTCCAGCACATCTTCTGATGAGGATGCAGATGACGCTCTAACCTGGAATACATTCTCTCCACAAAGCTGAAGGGAGCTTGCAATCTCTTTAATGCTCCAATTAGAGCCTGAACACAAGACCTTTTCTTTCGTATGGTGAAATCAGGCTGGGCCAGTTACATGAGACTTGACTAAAGGCTTAGGAATAACAGAGAAAAACTAAATGCAGGCAATAGAATATGACCATAGAACATGACTTCAAGACACCCTACCCACCCAGCAATAGGCTTTAAAGACAATCTTTTGTCCTTTAGACACAAGGGCTGGACCTTTAGATGTGAGGCCCCATGAGAGAGGCAGCATTGTCAACATCCCTGAGGGGAGTCTGAATCCCTGGGTTGGATGCAGTGAGGCCCAGGTCTCCTTATATGCTGGTTTCGGAGGTCTGGGATTTTATTAAGAGAGATGGCAGGTCTCCCTGACCTACCACCCCTTCCCCACTTCCTGATTCCTGCTTACCTCAAAGTGGTGGATGCTGCCTTTGCACTTAACGTTCCAGGAGGCCACACCTACATGGGGGATTCCCTCTGCCTCCTGAATTCTAGTCTGATAATCCTCTTTGTCTCCATTATGGGCTCTTTCTTCACTATTCACCCTATTGAAGCAGATCCTCCTTTTACCCACCCAAACATTGTAGCCTTAAACTCACAGTCATGTTTGAATACAACACATTACATTTAATAACCATGCAAGAAAATCACACACACTGTGCAAGAGGGTCTAGTCTGTACCAATCTTGATTTTGCACTTGTAATCTATCCCTCTCTGGAGTTTAGTTGAGAGCATGATCTTTGCAGCCACTCAGATCAGGGTTCTAATTATACCACATACAAGCTGTCTGACCTTAAAGAATTTGATTAGCTCAGTGTGCTAATCTGCAAAGTGGGCATAGTAAAAGTGTCTACCTCATTTGACTATTGTGTGAACTCAATAAAATGATATCTGCAATTAGTTCCATCTGGCACACAATAAGTTCCCCATATTAGTTGTCAATGTACTATCCTCACTTCTCATGGTAAAGTAATTATTTCAGCATTTAAGAAAATTTATTCTATCACTGCAAGTGCCATGCTTGTCACACAGTAGGTGCTTGATAAATGTTTCATGAATAAACAAATTAAGCATATTCCCAAGACTATTTCTGTCTGGGAAAGCATCCCTTGAGGCTCCTGAGTGATGACAGTCACTGTAAGGAGATCACAGCCCATTTTGATACATGATCAAGATATAACACTTGACCATTTCCCTTGATCTTTGTATCCCTGTGAGATCATCATTAATATCCCCATTTTATCCCAAGGGAACCAAGGCTTGTGGAGGCTTAGTGTTGTTCCCAAAGTAACACAGTTAGCAAGTGGCTCCATTGAGTGATGCTTCAGCAGAAGCCCAATGTGCCCTGAAACAGCATACGAAGTCTATCTGAGATCCAGGGGCATGACTTATGATTCTTTAAAATAACTGTGTAGCTAGGGAGCTACAGAAATGATTCTTTAAAATAACTGTGTAGCTAGGGAACTACAGAAAGAGATTGACAGAACCTGGGACTTCAATCATTTTCAAGAAAGTACAACAGCTAAGCATTAGCCATACCTAGAAAAGACCCATTCTAAATGATGCTTTATAAATGCATAATGAAGAGACTGAGAAGTATCCAAGTCCAGAAAAAGTCATCAGGACTAAATGTAGCTAAAGAGAGCTGGGGCCCAGTCAGTAGTCCCCAGTCTGACTGAAGGAAGTGTAGAGCAACTGGAAGATCTGGGTCTGCTGGGTGTCCAGAAAAGGGGCAGTCAAATAATACAACCAGTTAGTGTGTCTCCAGTTCCACTGAGAGAGACAACTGGCTCTGGACCAGACATAGCTAATCATAATTTCCTATCCCCTGACCTAATGTCTCTTTGTTCTGAACTCAGTAAGCAATCTTCTGGTTATTAGTTTTCTGGGTAAGCTTGATACCAAAAAGGGAATACTTGGTAGGAATTGTCACCATTTTACATTTACCTTGGGCTCCTTAGTGCTATGGTTTGAGTTTGACCCCACCAAAATGCATGTTGAAAATGATCCCCAATGTGGTGGTCTTGGGAAGTGGGGCTCAGTGACAGGTGGGGACAGATCTCTCATAAATGGTTTGGTGGCAGTCAGTGCTTGCTCTCTGTGAGACTGAACTAGTTCTCACAGGAATGCTCCCTTGAGAGGGGGCTTTAATAGAACAAGGACACTCCTTGAAATTTGCCTCTCTGCACATGGCCACTTCCCCTTTGATCTTCCACCATGTCTTAACACAGTAGGAAAGCCCACACAGAAGCCAAGCAGATGCCAGCACTATGCTTCTTGAACCTTCCAGCCTGCAGAACCATGAGCTAAATGTACCCTCTTTTCTTTATAAATTACTTAGCCTTGGGTATTCTGCTATAGCAACACAAAATGAATTAAGACACTCAGTCTCTTAGAAGTTTGTGATTGTGAGTCAATCTCTTTTAAGTCATGTCCCCCAGTTTTTTACTGGACTCAGGTTCATCAGTCTCTTAGGGATTTAGTGACTGTAAGTCAATGATTCTTGAACCTGAACAACTATGAGCATGCTTATAAATCCAATGTCTGGAACTGCAAAGCCAAGCGAGGGCCATCCCCTGGCCCACAGCAACCCTTCGAAGAAGGTGCTTCTACCCTAGGAGACACCTCCCCACTTACCCCACAGATGCCTGTAATGAGATCCCTCCATCCTCCAGCCTCTGGCCACATGCCTGCAGAGCAGAGTGGTGTTCACAGGTCACTTCACTGGGAGCACAGGGCTTCCTCAGCAGAACTGAGAGCTGACAGGGGTGCAAAAAATAACAGGCTTATTGGAAGAGAGCAACATTACAGACACTCAAGCACCCCTCAGGTAGAGGAAAAACAGAAAAGCTCTCATCTTTATTCCTACCCATGGTCAGACATGCAAGAGCCTCGCTCCTCCCTATAGGAAAAGAAAGAAGCAGAGAGATGACAGGTGGAGTTAGAGTTTCAAGGACACGGAAGGATTTGTAAACACTGGAGGCTGTCCTCGCTGAGGCAGAAGTCATCATAGGCGGGGCAGAGTCCTCCAGCTCCACTCAAGGGATGGCATTTCCCTTTCATCTCTTTCTCCCCTCTGGGATCCAGGGAGTGATTGAGATAATTTACCATTTAATGTGGGCAGATGGCTTAATTAAGCTAAAGCGGAAGACATTCACAGTGGCGCTGGGTATGAGAATGACTCGGGGGTGGGACCCTGGGAGCCACCTGGCAGATGTGTCCTCCTCTGCCCCATCTCCTGGACTGATCCCGAGGCACTAGGGTGCAGGGTGCTCACTGGGTAATTTGCCCGCTTGGGAATTTAGGCTTCTGGTTCCCGTGCAGCCTCTGCCAGTGCAGAGGCTCACACATTAGGAAATGCCTCTGGTTTTGTGGCCAGTCTTCAGCTCTAGGGACAGCAGCAGCAGCAGAAGCCAGCATTGCTGGACCCTCCCTGAGGCTGGCTGGGTTTCGGGTGACCAGTCATCCACGAGATTGAAGCCAAATCCCTGCTCTCAGAGAGTTCATACTTGGGTGGGGATAGCAAATTCCTGGACCTTTGCAGGCAGGGCCCGAAAGATTCTAGCCCTTCTCCTAAAATGTATACATGAGCAAACTGAGGCCTAGACAAGGGAAGCAACTGGCTCACCATGAGCCGCAGAACAGGCATGAGAACTCAGCTCCCCAGCTCCTGAGCTGTAAGTGCAGTGTGTGGGGGTGTGTGTGTGTGTGTGTGTGTGTGTACCTATGTGGGGAGTCAGATAAAGCACAGCTCCTCTAATTCCCCTTCCCTCTTCCTGCCCTCATTGCTATCCTCCTCAATCCATGGGTTCCTGCCAAGTCCTTTCCCATCTCTCTGTTTATGTCTGAAGAGAGGAGTGGGAGCCCCCAAATAGGTAGTGAGTTTTCAGATTTCACTCATTCCAAGCCTGGAGCTCCACAGCCTTTGGGAACAGGTGTAGGGTGGCCCCACATCATTTCCTGGGTGAATTCTGCTTCCACGGCTCATTAACCTATCCTGTCTGCAGCTGGCAAGTCTGGGAGGAGAAACCCGCAGCAAACCACCCTCCTCTCAGTCCCCCTTCCCCACTCCAAGCACCTTAAAATGATTGCTTTGGCCCAGACCCAGGGAAGTGATGAAGTTTTCCAAACTATGAGGCAAGGTTTCTTGTCTCATTAGCTTCTTTACTTTGCTATCCAGAACCCCCCGTACCACCACCACCACCACCACAGGGAGCCTGAACCTAATACCCCCAGGAGGATCTGAGTGACTTTGGGCGGGATGCTCTCAGTCCTGTCCTCAGGGATGTAACTGTTTGCTTCAAGGAGGGCTCCTGGAGAAACTGAGCTAGGTAAAGATCTCCGTGCAGCTCTGGGCAGGGAATGTGACACAGCAATTTGGTCTATGTGGGGCCAGGAATTTCCACTGGGAATAGCAGGGCAGCAGACCAGGGGATGGCGTGGGAGGTGGCCAAGGATGGTAGATAGAATTGCTGCATAAAATACAAGACAGTCAATGAAATATGAATTTCAGATAAACAACAAATAATTTTTTAGTATTTGTCCCAAATATGCCATATTTACACTAAAAAAATTTTTTTGTTGTTGTTATTTGAATTGCAAAGTTAACTGGCCATCCTGTATTTTTATTTGCTAAATCTGGCCACCCAAATGTTGGGGGAGACAATCAGGAGATGGTGCAGCAGGAGATTAGGGGATTGTGGGCAGCGGACCAGAGCTAGACTCACCCGGGCCTCTGAGCTGGGCCTCTCCCCTCAGGGGTTTCGCAGAGTTGTATACTCAGGACCTGTTTCCTACCCACGCCAATTTCACGGGACTTGTTTCTGTCTTGCCTAAGGTCTCAGGGAAGAGACCTTCCCTTAGCTTCTCCCATTGCCACTCCCGCCCCCAGAATCTCTCTGTCTTCAAACTTGGCAGAGAGACAGAGCACAATCTCCCACCCTGTGGCCACCAAGCACAAGCATGCAGAATCTCTCTGTTTGAAGGGCTTTATGAAGACCAGCTTTGGAGGCACACTGGCCTGGGTATGAATCTGAACTTAGTCACCCCCTAGTTGGGCATCATGGGCATGTAATTAACCCCTCTGTGCCTCGATTTCTGAGAAATGGTTAAAAAGAGAACCAACCTATTGCGATCATCTAGTGGGTCAATGTTTACAAAGCTGATGGAACACAGCATTCAATAAATGATAGCTTAAAAATTCCGGCCGGGTGCAGTGGTTCATGCCTGTAATCCCAGCACTTTGGGAGGCTGAGGCAGGTGGATCACAAGGTCAAGAGATTGAGACCAGCCTGGCCAACATGATGAAACCCCGTCTCTACTAAAAATACAAAAAACTAGCTGGGCATAGTGGCGGGCACCTGTAATCCCAGCTACTCGGGAGGCTGAGGCAGGAGAATCACTTGAACCCGGGAGACGGAGGTTGCAGTGAGTCGAGATCGTGCCACTGCACTTCAGTCCGGGTGACAGAATAAGACTCTGTCTCAAAAAAAAAAAAAAAAAAAAAAATCCTAAAGCCCTTAAATCACCACAGGAACCAAGAAAGGGATTTAAAAAAAAAAAAAAAAATTAACATGGGGAAATGACACAGGTTCCAGACTCTTTCAAAACTCTCTCTCACAGCCATTATCGCTCTTTTAGAAATAAAAGAAAGCATCAGTCCTATATTCCCCGTTTACACCTGAGAACAGAGCTCACTATATCGTCTTTACTTTTTGAAATCTCTCCTTTCCCAGGATCACTCTACCCAGCATTAGTCCAGATGGCAAGCTATGAATTGGAGTCCATTCCAATTTTAGGGATCCAGGTGGGGAGCGTACATCTCAGGGACACCACAAACTGGGAGGCTCTTCATTCATTCAACAAATGTTTATTGGGCCTCTCCTGTGTATACTGGGGATAGACAAGTGAATGAGACAGAACTTGCCCTTGCCCGCAAGGAACTTACAATCTAGTTGAGAATTTCATTTCATTCATTATCTCTCCCAACTCCTATTATCTTCACTTGGATGGTTCAGAGAATAGGATGGCGACTTGGTTAAAATCAGAATGTCGACTCTATCAACTGGAAGTGGCTTTGTAGACAGCCACGTTTAGCCATGCTCCAGCTCAATGGGGAAAAGTTTTGTGGTGATTAGTGATGTCTGCCATGGGTGCAGGAAAGAGAAGTGGCACAGATGTTCCACTGATATGCACATCAAGCCTTTCCTTGCGTTTGTATCCTGGAAGAAAAGCCCACAGCTCAAATCTCTTTAGGACTATGAAGCCGAGCCTGAGGGGTGGAGTGATGAAGAGCTTGAGTGCCCCCGCCGGGGAAGGTGAGTCTTCAGAGCTGGCAGACCTAAGTCCCAGAAGAGGAAAGAAATAGACGTGAGACGGAAGGTAGATTGCAGTTCGGCCCCTGACAGGCATGTTGACAGACAGGAACAGAGTTCACCAGATAATGAGAGGAACCCGGAAGCTAGAAAAGCCCGGTGACAAGTGATACCTCTGTCCCCACTTCCCATCAAGCTTCTCTAGCTGGGAATGCCTTCCATGATGATAGGTGTTCTGCTGACCCTGGGGTGACAGATACGATCGCAGCAGATGGCCCTGGGTCTGCTTTGCTAGGAAGGTGAGATCAGGACATGGGCACAGAAACAGGGCGCCTTCCTGGCACCTGGAATACATTTTGGGCCTTGCCATTAAAACCCGGGGATCCCAATTATACATGTTCACATGGGTTTTTAATACACCAAAGAGAAGATAATCTTATAGGTGGGAGAGAACTTTGAAATCATCCACTCCAGGGTTTCTCAACCTTGGCACAATTGATATTTTAAACCAAATACTTGCTTCTTGTTGGGGCACACAGAGCCTGTGCATTGTAGGCTGATCAGCAGCGTCCGTGGATGATAGAGGCACTGCATACTCCCTCTCATTGTTACAACCCAAAAACCTCCATCTCCAGATGATACCAAATGTCCCCAGGAAGCAAAGTCACCCTGGTTCAAAACCACTGACTCATATCATCTCAACCTATGGATAAAGAAACTGAGGTCCAGAAAGGTGATCTGCCCAAGGGACATTTGGTATGTTCTTTGGTGACTCTCCCTAGAGAATTCTCTTTTTTTTCCTCCCTTCCTCCCTCCCTCCCTCACTCCCTCCCTCCTTCTTTTCTTGTCTGTTCTTTTCTTTTCTTTTTTCTTGAAACAGGATCTCATTCTGTCATCCAGGCTGGAGGGTAATGATGCGATCATGGCTCACAGCAGCCTCGACCTCCTGGGTTCAGGTGATCCTTCTGCCTCAGCTTGCCAAATAACTGGGACTACAGGCATAAGCCACTACACCCGGCTATTTTTTGTATTTTTGTAGAGATGGGGTTTCACCAGCTGCCCAGGCTGCTCTCAAACTCTGGGGCTCAAGCAATTTTGCCTCAGTCTCCCGAGGTGCTGGGATCACAGGCATGAGCCAGTGTGCCTGGCCCATGAGCCATCATGCCCAGGCCAAGAATTCTTCTAATAACACTGCACATAAAAAGAAAGGGTCTTATAAATCTGCACCTAGTGAGGTCATACAACTTATAGCACAGAGCCATATAAAACCTTTTAGAGTTAGCCTACATTTAATTAAGAGGGCTCTGCTCCTGTCCCCTTTCCTGGGGGTGCTGGGTCTGGGGCCTTTTACGATGTTACTTCTCACTCTGACCTTCCTGGAATCTGGTTTAGAACAAAGTGTACCAGGTTTTGGAGATAGGAGCACTGTCACTCTCAGCTCCCATGGCAATGCCACTGACTTGAATGTCAGACTTTATAGATCTTGGTATTGAAAGAAGATGAAGGCCGTAAGTTTCATTTGGAGAGGAAGCACTCCAAGGTGGGTAGCAGATGGGCTACCTCAGGGACAGGTAAGGTGATGGAATAAGAAATGTGGTGGGCTGTCCATTTCACCAATAAAACTTATTTTCTTCTTTCTTAAAGAAAAGAACTTCCCAATGTTAATTTGTTAGAGCCCAGAGTTGCCTGTGGCATTAAAAGTGACACAGGGAATAGCATTACATTTCTATTATCCTCCTGATGTTGTGGGCATCAAGCTGCCACTATGCTATTTCACATTTCCAGCTAAAAAGCAAGTGATTTCAAAGGCATTTGGCTGGCCCTGAACATTTTTAATGATGTGTGTTCTTTCTTGACTTCACTTACGTTATCACCGCTATCAAGTAAGCCTAAGTCCCTGTGATTATTGGAATGGTGAAAACAGATGGCTAAATTTAGATTTCAGCGGGATGTGGGGTAGAAGGTAATGCTGAAAGCAGAGGCTTCAGAAGAAGACAGTTTACATGTCCTTTGCAATTTGGTGAAATTTGAGTCTCTAATAATTAAAAATGTGTGGGTGGTATTGGTATATACATATGACCCAGCTCTCAGCACTGTTGAGAACTTCTGGTGGCAACTGTCTGTTATCAACTCACTTTTGCAGTCTTCCCCTTGAAGGCCCATGTTTGTCAGTCTTTAATTTGTTTTTGGCTTGGTGACATGAGGCACTATTCCTGTGTGAGATACTAAGCTCTTAGGGCTGTTCTAAGATGTGTTGAATACAAAATGTCCTGCTCTCTCTGCCTGAAGATGATGCTCTTGCATTTAGATGCACTATAGGACTAACACATGCCAATGAGCCTCCTAAGAGATTAATGGTAAATCAGAATTGTCATGAGAAATAGAACTCAAACAGGCTGAACTGGGTGGTCCTGAGGCAGAATGTGGGGCACGGGGGTTGGTTTATGCTTTTGATGGTCAATATATTATGCCATGGGAGCTAGGTACTTATGTCTTCACTCCAGAAAAAGTCCTTTCAAGAAGTCCAGGTACCCATGGGGGCTAGTCAGGGCTCCCTCTCCTTCTGAAAAAGCTGGAGACACTGAAATTCTCTTCCTCTCTCTGGTCGAGGTGTCCTGTTTACCTGAACACCATGAAAACCCAGCCATTTTGTATTAACCCATTCTTCACGTATAAAGATCACAGAGCACTAAGGTCCTTTTTTCCTTATCTTTTTTTTTTTAAATAAATTGAAAGGATATAAGTTTTTTCACATGGATATATTATGTAGTCGTGAAGTCTGAGCTTTTAGTGTAACCTTTACCTGAATAATGTACATTGTACCCATTAAGCAGTGTCTCATCCCTCACTCCACTCCCATACTCCCATCCTTCAGTGTCTTCAATGTCTATCATTCCACACTCTGTGTCCAGC